CGATTTATTTTGAAATTTTGAACTTAATGATAAAATAAGCAAAAATAAAAAGTTTTAAAGTTAAAATCTTCAAATAAACAAACTTTTAATAAAATTCTGGAATCGCAAACAAAGGTTAAAATTTTACATTTTTTTCAAGTTAAAGAACTAGAAAAAAATAAAAAAAAGGCTAACAAAATAGAAGCAAAAAATATAAAATGTCTATTATTTCTATTATTATTCTCTGAAATTATTTCGGTTTTTTCCAGGTTTTGTGTTTGTCACCAACGTACGAATTAGCCATCCAGACCGGCGAAGTGGCGGCACGAATGGCCAAATTCTGTCCCGAAATTGAAATGAAATACGCCGTGAGAGGCGAAGAAGGTTTGAAATCACTCAGAAAGACACTATTCTCACCCTAATTTTAGTTTCCCGAGGGGCGCAGTTAACAGAACACATAATTATTGGTACCCCTGGAAAGGTGCTAGATTGGGCGTTGAAATTCCGTGTTTTTGATCTGAAAAAACTAACAGTGTTTGTCTTGGACGAGGCTGATGTTATGATTGCGACCCAAGGACACCAAGATCAATGTATTAGGATACACAAGTGGGTTGAATAAAACTTTGGTGTTTTTTTTTTTTGGTTAATTAAAAATTTTGTAGGAATTTGAGCCCGAATTGTCAAATGATGTTTTTCTCTGCGACATACGATCAACAAATTATGGATTTTGCCGAAATTATTGTTCCTGATCCGATCACAATTAGGCTCAGACGGGAAGAGGAGAGTCTGGATAACATCCAGCAATATTATGTGAAATGTTCAGGACCACAGGAGAAATATACCGCAGTGACGAACATTTATGGGACTGTGGGAGTGGGACAAGCGATTATTTTCTGCCACGTGTGTAGATTTTTAAATTTTTTTAAAAAAACATTTAATAGCCCAGTCAAATTAGACAAAAATAGGGCGATCGGTGGAAAAAAATCCTAGAGAGTTGCAATTTTTTTTAACGCTTTCTTTATTCTTGGGTAGACATATATCAAAAGTCTCATAATAGGGCGAGCTGGAGGAGGGGGAGGGGGCTAAAGGTGTCTTTTTTTGTTTTTTTTGTTTATATCTCGGAAACTATTACTCCTAACGGTTTTTTCCTGCTTATCAAAATTAAAGCTTACAAAATTTCCTACAAAAATGGTCCTTTGCATTTTTGTTGTAGGACTAACTGTAAGCGAGTTATAGGGTTGACAAAAAACATCATTTAAAAAAATGTGCTTTATTCGCATTTAAAACAGAATTAATCTTGTGATTTGAAAAAACTGAAAGCAAATTGAATTTATTGGGTGTAACACTTCATTAGAGAGTCTATAAAGTCTTCCGAGTCGTCCTCATATCATCTTCAACTTAAACATTGAAAACCGAATTACAGTCTTGTTCAGTACAATATTAATAAATAGATGATTTAATATCGATGATTTGAATAAAGCTTACAGTAAATTGAATGTATTGGATCCAACAGTTTATTAGAGGGTGGCACGAGGGTCTATTAAGTCTTCCGAGTCATCCTTATATGCTGAACTAACATTTGCCTGCGATTTTGTCCGCGTGTTTTTCTGATATAAAATGGGAAAAAGCCCGTTCATAAAATCATTCCATAGGCTTAGGTACTCTATAAAGCTAGATAATTACCTATATTATGTATAGGATTCAGTTATATTAGTCTCGTTCTTCGCATGGGCTATGTTTATGGATAAATATTAAATGTTGATTTTCATAAAGTGTCGTCTCAGTGCACTTCTGCACTCTCAAAATTCGAAATTTCATGTTTCTAATTTTGTTTTTAAGCGTTTAAATTCTACTTTATTTCATTAAAATTTAAAAAGTGCACTTCTACACTCTCTAAGGATCATATTTTCTAAATTTAATGTTTTTATATCCCTTTAAATGTGTACACCGTTTTATTCCCTTAGAAACTAATTTTCGAAAAATCTGATTTTAGTGCCCCTTTACACCTCTAAAGAATTTTATGTTTATATCTTTGTTTAAACATTTACACTCCATTTAACCCCCTTACAGATTGATTCTCTCTTTCATCCAAGATTTTTATTTATATCTCCGTTTAAATGTTTACACCCGAGTCACCTTTCAGCCAGACCGCTTAGTTGGGGAACGCTCTACACATATAAATACTTACCATATACTAATGAAATGTGTTTCAAAGGATTTTTAATGCAATTTTATGTAGACTCCAAACTTTTGAAGCCTACGGTTAGTCCTACGACAAAAATGAATAGGACCATTTTTGTAGGAAATTTTGATGTAGAAATAAACATCTACAGAAAATTCTGCATAAATTACATAAACGTTGAGTTTGTATTTATAGACCCTCGTGACTCCCCCTTCCTTTAATAAAATATTGGACCCAGTAAATAAATTTATTGTCACTTTTTTTTAAATTACAAGACTAATTATGTTTTAAATGCATATAAAGCCAATTTTTTTAAATGTTTTTTCTGACCTATAACTCGCTTACGGTTAGTCCTACAACAAAAATGCAAAGGACCATTTTTGCAGGAAATTTTGTAAGCTTTAATTTTGATAAGAATATAAAAACCTATAGGAGTGATAATTTCCGAGATATAAGCAAAAAACCAAAAAAAAGACACCTTTAACCCTCCCCCTCCTCGAGCTCGCCCCCACCTTCAGGGACTTTTGATATACAGTCTGTTCGGTGCAAGTCGCCCCGGCTGATAACACCTAAACTTACTTTTTTTTTCAAAAACTAAGTTTTCAAATAATACTATTCATTCCTGGCTTTTTTAGAAAATGCATCAAATTTTTTTAGCATATCCGGTGTAGCCGGAAATGCTACCAAATTTAGTTTTTCAAATGGAACACCTATGTTTTTTTTGCTCGAAACAATAATAATTGGCATGAAAAATACGGTAAACCACTATTTATTACATTTTACTTTACATAATGCACTCAGAAAACAATTTAAATTTTTGAATTTTATTGCAAATTTTGCAACGTAGGCGGATTTTACTTGTAAAGGTATTCATGCAAAAAGCAATATGCTTGGATACCGTTTAATTGTTAGTTTGACAAAGCCTAATTTGTCAATAAATCTAATTGAGATCTTTAATAATGGATGATATTAATTACGACCAATTGGTAGATCAGCTTGAAGTGTTTTTAAGTGCAATAAAAATAGAGCGGAAGCTGAAAGACAGTTTAGAGAAAAATACCCAAATCGTTGGAAATTTAGTCGAATTGGAAAACAACTGAGACGAACTGGTTCGCTTCTTAAAAATAAAAAACCTGTGATTCTTTGTGGAGAACAAGAAAATAGAAATCTGCATGTTCTGTTACCAGTCGAAGAAAATCCAAGAGTTTCCATAAGAGAACTCGCTCATCATAACTGACAAATTAGATTTGTCAAACCAACAATTAAACTGTATCCAAGCATTTTTTATTCACACCTTTGTTTTAAAATTAAAAATCAGGCTACGCGACCAATTTCCTAATAAAATTCTAAGATTTAAGATGTTTTTTGATTGCATTGTGTTACGCAAAATGTAATAAATAGTGGTTTACAGTATTTTTCATGTCAATTATTATTGTTTCGAGGAAAAAAAATAGGTGTTCCATTTGAAAAACTAAATTTGGTAGCATTTCCGGCAACACCGGATGCGCTAAAAAAATTTGATAAATTTATTAAGAAAGCCAAGATGAATATTATTACTTAAATATTTACTTTTTGAAAAAAAGAAGTAAGTTTAGGTGTTATCAGCCGGGGCGACTTGGACCGAACACCCTGTATGTTAAGTGTAAAGAAAGCGTTTAAAAAAAATTCCAACTCTCTAGGATTTTTTTTCCACCGATTTGTCTAATTTGACTGGGCTATAAAAATTGTGATATTTTAGACAAAACGCACTGCGAGTTGGCTTGCGGAAAAAATGTCAAAAGATGGTCACGCCGTGGCTATTTTAACTGGAGATTTAACAGTAGAGCAACGAATTAACGTCCTAGATCGTTTCAGGGATGGTAAAGAAAAGGTTCTAATAACCACCAATGTCTTGTCCAGAGGTAATTTAGTGTTTTTTTGAATCAAACTTTAATTTTTTGTCCAGGTATTGATGTCGAACAAGTGACAATTGTCGTGAATTTCGACTTACCAGTGGATAGGGAAGGAAAAGCCGATTGTGAAACTTACTTGCACCGGATTGGCCGAACTGGACGCTTTGGAAAGCAAGGTATTGCGATAAATTTGGTTGATTCACAAGAAGCTATGAATATTTGTCGCTATATCGAGAGACATTTCAACCGAAAAATTCATTATTTAAATGCCGATGATTCCGATGAAATTGAAAAGATTGGAGCTTGAATATTAATTTAAGATTACTTACCGTTATTTTAATAATTTTTAGATTAAGAAAATATACATTATGGCTACTATTTATTTTTGCAGTTAATTAAATTACATTTATAGCGAATTTTCCTTAATCACATCGTTTTGTTGTTTTTCCACTTTTTGTTGTTTCAAGAACGGGTAAATCACCGGTGATAACAAATCTCGATTGATGTGTGTGTTACCCCCCGTCAAGACACTTACTACAAACCCCACCACAATGGTCGTAACAGCCCCCACGAGGGTGTAGTACATGTAGGAGAGCCTATAGAGCACAAAAGGCGACTCTACTGGAATTTCTTTAGTGTCTTTTGACAGCGTCAAACTCAAATACTCCGCGACCCAATCGGCGTTACACCCCTCAATCGAGACATATTTCTGCGGAAATCTGATAACCCCCTGAGCCATGTTCATTTGCGTGCCGACGGAAATCCACCCGATTAGGCACCCACTGACCAAACCCCCGGTCAGTGCCCCCTTGGGATTGGCGTTAGGGAAGAACATCCCCAGGGAGAAAATCCCCAAAAGGGGGCCGGCAGTGATGGCACTTAAACTACCCGTGGCTTGAATCAAAGCCCCCATTTTCTCAACGACGAAAACAAGACCCACGCAAATACTCCCAATTATCACAACGATGATTTTCATCAGGAGACTGGCTCGGGCTTCAGAGAGCGGTTTCTTCATCCGGGGCTTTATTAAGTCTTCGAATATCACGCCCGTCATCGAGTTTAAACCAGTGGACATGGAACTGATTTTTGTTAAATGGGGCAAAATGAGACAGCAAAATTTCATGTGAAACGGCCTTTAGATAATAACCTCACTTGTCATTCTTTGACGTTTTGAAATGTCAAACTTGACATTTTGAAATGTCAAATTTGACGTTAAAGCCTGCTTCACAGTGAAAAGTCAAAAATTTGTTTTCCCATTTTTTGTATTATTTTCAAAATGGAAATACCTTAGAGCCGCACTGAAAACCCCACTGACGAACAGTCCGGGCAATCCGGGCATCGATGACGCAATATGCATTACAAAAAAAGGCAGTAATTGGTCGGATTTGTGAACTAATCCTCTAGTTATAGGATCACATTTGTAATAATAAGCATAAATGATCAAACCCATGAAACAACACATTGACACTAGTGCCATTATACCAACCACAAGAATGGCCACAGTTCTAAAACCAAATCATTTTTTTTTGAACACTCTGTATGTTACTCACATTCTAGCAGATTTCAGTGTGGGCATAGCGAGACATCTTTGAACCATTGCTTGGTTTATGGAGCACGAAGCCAACCACGAGAAGTAATTTCCAATTGCAACAGTCCAAAAAGTGTGTCTTATTGTAGGATCCCAATCGAAACTAAAATAGAATTAAATCGATTAAATTGTATTGACTATTTTTTTTCATTTTTACTTGAAGAAGTCGATTCTGTCTCCTTCTTCATTTCGCCGCCACACTTCGTCAAATCCTCCCACACTGGCGACCCCAAGAACCAAAACACCGATCAACGCTGCGAACATCATGATCGTTTGGATGGTGTCAGTCCAAACGACCGCTTTTAAGCCCCCCTGAAAGCCCCTTTGAGCACAATTCACACCTGAAATGACTCCTCACCAAAGTCGTGTAAAAAATACAAACGATGCACACAACCGGGGACACCAAATGCAGATTAATTCCAGTGACTGTAATAAAAGTTTTCGAAATTAAGAAATTTTGTGGTGAATGAATTACCTTGGCTGAAAGCTAACGCTGGGACGTAGATGACTATAGGGATGTAGAGCATCATTTTTGTTAAGAAGAGAATAGAGCCGAGTGAACGTACAGTTGAGTTAAAACGGAGATTTAAATACTGAAATAATCACATTACAAGAATTTTTTTCGAGATTTGGGTGAAATACCTCGTAACTTGACGTTATTTGTAATTTGTAAAAGACTGGCAAGTAAGCAAAAGCCATTGTTAAGGAGACTAGAGCTTTGGACGCTAAAACCATCCAAAATTGCGTCCCGTAAGTGTAGATCTCGGCCGGGATTCCCAGAATACTTATACCAGAAATGTAACTAAAATTTGAAAAATAATTTAAATAAATAGCAAAAACGAGTTAAACGCTCATAAAATGTAAAAATAACATTGTTTTTGGCTTGTTTTTAACGAATTTTTACGTTTTTACTTGAAAAACATGCTAAAACATTTAAATTTTGGCAGTGCTACCAACACAATTTAATGACAAATACTCAGCTGTGAGAATTTTAAGGTAAATGTTTAAAGGGCAAACTAGCGCTAATTTTAAACATCAAAACTCTTGACAATTGGCTTGTTTTTAACGAATTTTTACGTTTTTACTTGAAAACCATGCTAAAACATTTAAATTTTGGCAGTGCTACCAACACAATTTAATGACAAATACTCAGCTGTGAGAATTTTAAGGTAAGTGTTTAAAGAGCAAACTAGCGCTAATTTTACACAATTTAAACATCAAAACTTTTGACAATTGGCTTGTTTTTAATGAATTTTTACATTTTTACATGCTAAAACATTTTAAATTTTGGCAGTGCTACCAACACAACTTAATGACAAATACTCAGCTGTGAGAATTTTAAGGTAAGTGTTTAAAGGGCAAACTAGCGCTAATTTTACACATTTTAAACATCGAAACTCTTGACAATTGGCTTGTTTTTAACGAATTTTTACGTTTTTACTTGAAAAACATGCTAAAACTTTTAAATTTTGGCAGTGCTACCAACACAACTTAATGACAAATACTCAGCTGTGAGAATTTTAAGGTAAGTGTTTAAAGGGCAAACAAGCGCTAATTTTATACACCAAAACTCTTTACAATGTGCAAATAATACCATTTAGCCTTATTTAAACTTGCACCTCGTTATAACCTCAAAGTGAGATCCCGGTGAAGCACCCATCAAGCCGCCTCTGACCTGTCACCACGTCACGTGACGTTCCCAAACAGCGTCATTTCCCAAACTAATTTTCCATTTTAATAAAGAAAATGCATAAACGCGGTCAAGTGAACAAAAAATCCCTTGAAGAGGAGCAACAAGCCATTGGTGCGATCTACAAGCAATACATTGATACTTTCCAAGAAAACTCCGACATCCCAAGAAAAACGTTTGTCAAATCGGACACGCTGTACGCTGAAGGCAAAGAAAATGCGGAAAAGGGCCAATTGTACAACCCCAAACCCTTCATTCAACTGAAAAAGCAAACACCAAATCCACAAGCCCCCTTTTTGTCAAGCAGTAAACGAACTAAGAAGAAATCAAATCTCAAAGCTCTTGGAGACGAACTCAAAATGTTGCAGCACGAACGCCAAGTCAAAGAAATTCATTTGGTTGTCCCCAAATTGGAACCCTCACCCCTCCTCACCCATGAAAGTGATTACACGAATTCCACGAATCTTTTCGTGTCGAATTTGAATCCGCAGATTACTGAGAATCACCTCATTCAGATGTTTGGGACCTATGGGCCCCTGGCCAGTGTTAAGGTAAAGGTTTTGGGGGTTATTTTTGATTATTATTTTTTCATGTAATGATTTTCTCCCATAACTGATAACTATTCATAGTGGTCATTTAATTTATGCTAAAGTTGGCAGCACCTAACCCTCTACCTCTAGTGTGCTAGTTGTGTTTATGTTGGCAGCATAAGTCAATAGTTGTGACAGGCGCAGTAGATTTTATTCTAACCCTACATTTTCGGTATTGTTATTGTTGATTTAATAGATATATCCCTAAAAAACAATTGAATGTTTAAAGTCGCATTTACACAACTCAATTTTTAGAAATTTACACCAGGGAATGGCCACCGTGAATTGACCGCGTCTATATAGGGTGTCCCACCTAAGACTTTCGGGTCTAATATTTCTATTATTCTTATTTAAATTGGAATGTAAGTAGAATATTTAGTAGGTAGAGTTCAAACAAGTTTTCAAATGAAAAAAGAAAAAGAAAAATTGAATTTTTAAGAAATACAGTAAACAAATTGTTTTTTTACAATTGGATGTTGTTCCTGAATTAAAAAAGTACCTCACACATACAGTCACACAGAGTTTTTATCTCGATTTGAGTATGCATTTGTAACGGATTGCAAAATTCAATAGTTTTTATTTTTTTATAAAAAACGCATTATTTAAATTGCATGAAAAAAATTCAGTACCTAACATGAGTAGGTAATCTACAATACGCCAAAAATAAATCAAAAATTTTTTTCCGTATAGTTTTTTTACAAAAAATAATAAATGGCCAAAAATAGAGGTTTTTCAAAATTTATCCTTAAACGGCACGGACAAAAAATTTCAAATTAGTATACAGTATGTCCCTGAATTGAGTTTACAAGAGGAAAAAATTGTTATCTTTGATTTTACTCCAAAACTGCAAAGGGAAAAAGTTTTTGCTTTACTTGATACCAGCAAATCTGTAATTAAAACTTCATTATTCTGATTCAGTGAAAAAAAAAGGTTTTTTTTTGATTTTGGACTTTTTCTCTGCTTTTCCTATCAGTCCTATCAGTTGTCACATTGGCGGTTTTAATTGTTTGACAACTATATGTCACTTTGACAAGTAATTTATTAATTAAATAATGATAGTTCTTGTTAAAAATGACTTTGGTTTTTGCCTTAAAGCTGTTTCTTGAGTTGCTGTTTATTAAAATTATGTTTTTCACAAACATTTTTGTTATTTAACTTGGATAAACTCATTTGTCAAAATAATAAAATAAATAATAATAATAATAAATATTCTGTCACAGAAAAATGTCTTCTAACATAAAAAAAATATGCAAAAATACCCTAATTCATTTCTAAAACAACGATTTTTCGACTTGTATCGACAAAATACGTTAATATAAATAAGTTTCCGTTTCAAAAACTTGCTAATACTTCTAAGAATGGCTAAAATACGTTTATCTATGCGAATTTTTAAAACAAACAACAGGTCAAAAACAACGATTTTTTTGACTGACTCAAAAACGTGTTGATTTTGCATAATTCAGACCTAAAACAACGTTTTTTATATTAATTTTGGTAAAAAATTGATAAAATTTCTCGTCCAAAATTAATCCGCTTAGAAATGACTGAAATATTTTATATACGTTAGTTTCTGAAATAAAAAACCCGAAAAATCGTTCAAAAATGGCTCAAATTACATAATTCAGATCAAAAACGACGATTTTTTGGTCTTTTTGCATAATTCAAACTTGAAAAGATTTTCTCAATACATTTCTTATAATTTTGAACTTGGACTGCTGACAGATTTTGAAAATAACTTGTTTTCTCTTGTTCCCTCTCTTTTTTCTTATTCCCTTAAAAAAAAAAACACGCACGAAATCGTTCAAAAATTGACTTTATTGTCTTATTTCGGCAAAATACGGTGAAATTCTGACTTAAAAATGTGTTAAATCGCTCAGAAAACGAAGATTTTTTGGATTTTGTGGCTAAATGAGTCAAATTAAAATGAATAACATGCCTTTTAAAAATGCTAAATTCCTTAAAGTTTATATCAAATTGTTAATCACCAACACAAAATGTTATAAGCAAAAATTTTAATGCCTAACAATACAATTTAGCTTAATTTTAAATTGAGAAAATATGTCTTAAAACTTTTTTTTATCTTGAGGTAATTTTATTAATACTAATTGAATCTTCACCTTCAAGTTGTCTACATTTTAATTGGCAAATATCAAAGGCTCGGATTATATGCACGAAAAAATCGTAAAATATGCGCATATATATGCACTTATTTTCACAAAATATTAAGAAATTGCTCCAATATATACCAAATATGCATCGATATACAATATTTTGAACAATAAAAAGTCAAAGGTATTTATTTTTTGAAAAAACTAATTGATGAATTATAAAGTTCTATAAAAATGTGATGAATGAAATGAAAAATGTAAAATTTTTCGAAATTTTTGTTATTTTGTTTTTTAGTTTTACAAAAATATTATTTTTTTTAAATGGGGACCCATAAAAAAAAAACATTTTTTTCATGAAGGTTATGATGTAAGGAATTACAACTATTTACTTTGTATTAAATAATTTTTTTACATACCTATATCGCAATTTAGACAGCAAAAATCGAATAACTCAAAAACAAAACAAAATTTTGTTCTTAAAATAAGATCATTTTTTATATTAATTTATATTAATTATTATTTTTTGGAAACAAATGATTGAAAAAAAAATCGCTTGGTTCAATACAATTTAAAAAGGAAACACTCAGCAGGATACTAATTTTTTGAGTTTGGCTTACGAATTACCGGTTGTTTTCTTTTTAAAATATTTTGTAATCGGAAATCAGTGATTTGAAGAAAGTATGCACAAATATGCAATATTTCCTAAAATATGCACCAAGTTGCCAAAATATGCAAAATATGCTTTTTTTATTTGGCTTATTTTAATAAAAAAACATTAGATATGCATAGAAAACATACAATTTTGTTGATATACCTCTTAATAACAAATATGCATTTTGCATATAATCCGAGCCTTACAAATAACAGTCTTAAGTGGGTATCTTGTAGATAATATTTTTCTTATCTCTTTTTTCATGTAGATAATGTGGCCGCGCAACGAAACGAGTTCTCGAGGTGCAAATTGCGGTTTCGTGGCTTTCATGAGCCGTTCGGACGCTGAACGCGCAATGAACGGATTAAAAAACCACGAAATGAGAATCAATTGGGGCAAATCGGTGAAAATCCCCCCATATCCTATTCACATCCCACCCGAATTGTACAAATTGTATGCACCTCCACCTCCCTCGGGACTCCCTTTTAACGCACAACCCTGTTCGGAGGACTTGTCACAAGCCGTGGTCAAAGTCACCATTCCTTTCGATCGCAACCTTTTAATGATTATCCACAGAATGATCGAGTTTGTGATTAGGGAAGGGCCGGAATTTGAAGCCGTGATCATGGATATGGAGTCGGGGAATTCCGAGTTTAAATTCTTGTCCGATTTTCAAGATCCAGCTCATACGTACTACCGATGGAAATTGTATTCGTTGTTGAATGGTGAACCGAAAAATTCGTGGTCGATGAAACCGTTCAGGATGTACAAAAATGGGTCAATTTGGGTGCCCCCAACAGCCCCCAATTACCGTGAAGGGATGCCTCAGGAACTGATTAAAAGTCCCAAGACCGAAAATTTGTCTGAAACCCAAACCGCGCGTTTGGTTTCCTTGATCAAACATTTAACTACAACCAAAAGCTCAATTTCCGAAGCGATGGTTTTTTGTTTCAACCATTGCAACGCCTTGGGTGATATTTTGCAAGTTTTGGTCGACTCATTTAAAAATGTTGCCACAAATCCGGTTAAAAAACTCGCCCGACTTTACTTACTTTCTGATATTTTGTATAATTGTAAAGTGAGACAAATCCGGTGCGAGAAATTCACTCAGGAAGTTTGTTTGGAAATTTTTAACCACCTCCATAGCACTTACAAGGAATTACATCACGCACAGGATAAAGTCTGTTTTAAAATTAAAATTTTTGCTGTGTTGAGAGCATGGTTGTTGCATCATTTTTACGACGTGAAGTTTGTAACGAAATTGGAAAATGTGCTTTTGACTGGGAATGAAAACGGTGAAGATGATGATAATTCGTTGAATGATGAACCGTTAGATGGTGCGAATTTGTTGAAAAGGTCGTATCATACCGCCACTACCGATTGTTTGATTGTTGAGAAGAAACCAAAACAATTTGTCGATATGTTTAATTAAGGAAAATTTGTTTCGTGTTTAATTATAAGTTTTTACCTGGCGATGAGTGACATTGATATTGGAAATATTCCCATCGTTTTACCTCCCATGAGATACTCGGAAGTGGTGTCTTGTTTAATTTTGGCAAAGAAAGCAAAATAAACACCAATTAGAGATGATACAATCAACATTACACCAAATACAATGTAATCGAAGATGTCGAAATATGTGAAAATTTCTTCCGAACTCATTTTGGTTTTGCACTTGTAAATCGAAGAACATCACTAAGTTAAAGTGACCCATTATCCTACTACTATAATTTAGTTACAATTGGAAAATTATACTCCGTATATAACAGACGTCTCATCCTCCTATTAGAGCAAAATGTCGTAATTCAATTTCTTACATAATTGTGAAATAAAACAAGACAACTAAGGGAACACTATTTATTTACTGAAATAAATGGACAAACAAACGATTGAATCAAGTATGCCAATTCATGAAACTTCATTCTGGATAGAACCGATAAGATACATAGAGCTATGAAGATATTTACATCTCTGCCATATGAAAAAATGAAGTCTTCACATGACTAATAATCATCATCTACATTAAACAACAAATAATTTTTTTTAATATCTGATTGACCGATCATAAATATAATATATTTCTAAGATGGAAACTATGGTAAGGCAAGCCCGAAAAAATCGAATCATAATGTGGAGAAAACATCAAAAGTCCTGAGCTATAATTCCTGAGAGAAAACATTTGTTGTTGACTGCGTTGTAGATGTTGATTGATGAAAACAAAGTTTTACAATAATAACATTCACAAAAGAATGGCACACTTACACAAGTACTTTTTTTTTGTCAACTATGAACTATATAAGATTCTGTTGTACAAATAGCATTCACCAGAAAATTTTCAAACTTATATAATATATCGAAAACCCAGAAGAAATTAAAACTTGAACAACAAATTAAATTTTATAGAAATATATGAGGTAGTTTACTTCTTAGATCGGATAATGTACAATACTAAACGGTAATAATAGTGTTTTTGGTGGTGATTAAAGTACTGCTGCGCTTTCCATGTCGTAACCTTTAGTACGATTATCCGTGTCTAAGGTACCTAATCTAAAGCGGCTGGTTTGCACAGTCAGTCTCCGTCCAGCATTGTTTTTATCTTCTTTCAACATGTATACTATTAACTATAAGTGGTTGTAATAAAATAATCAAACGACAAACTATAAAATTCATCAGGTGAAGAATTATACATGTAGTAGCTTTTAACTATATACTATATAGGATGGTTTGATTTCACGTAAACCCTATCTTCATGCTATTGTAGATGCAACTTTTTTACTCGAAAAAACGGTTTGCTTGAAATCACTTTTTAACTATTAACTTAATGAAATAATTATGAAAATGCATTACAATTCAAACTATAACTATTTTTATATACTTTTTCTTTTTTAATAGATACATCTGCGTCTCTAAACGACTTGAACGCCGACTTTGACACGTTTTTAAACTTTGAGTGCAACAACAGACTGCAAAAAACTAAAATTCAACATTTATTTTTGATTAAACACACACTGACAATGCCCACAATTCTGCTACAAGCAATCTGAATGTCGCTCAAAATCGTTTAGCGACGCGAGACTTTGGTTAGGCACTATTTATACCATAACATAGTGTTTTTTCCTTTGCTTTTAAATATAATCAATTGATTTACCGATTTTTAAACGTGTAGGCATTACATGGAATCGGTTAGTCTAGTTGTGGTGAAGCTTAAGACCGGTATGCGCGCGCACATTTTCGAAAAATTTCCATTATTTCGTCGCACACGTCTGTAATTTTTTTTTTGGCGGATTTTTGTGATGGATGGAATTTTTCGTTTCAAGTGTCGTTTTCTTTTTCTTTTGGGGGGTGGGGGAGAATTGTTATAGTCCGAATATGTTTGTAATATTAATTTTGCAACAGAAATTATAATCTAGGTATGAAATGCGTTAGATTTTTGATGTTGTGTGAAATAAATGGATCGATTGATCGACGACTGTAGACTGAAAACTGGCGAATAATTTTTTAAAATAAAAAAACGAAATTTGTTATTCGCTAGTTTTTAGACTAGTGTGGATGGTAATTGAATTTTGAACTAGACTTTGTACTTGTATTCGTTTTGTACGATTGCATGATTGTGTCCGAAAAGTTTGTGTGAGCCCGATTGTTGTTGTTAATGGGGGTATCAGAAAGTGCTGAACCGATGACTGCCAGTTTTTCTAAAATATATGAACCCTTGAACAGTCTAACTTTAATAAATAAATACAGAACTTCATTCTGGTAACATCTTCGCACTTTGGCACACTTATAAATCTGTACAAATAATTCAAATTTTCTCTTTCATTTATACATAATTAATAAATATATATTCATATAATAATATATCCATTTTTTCACAATTTTTTAAAATAGCGACCCCGCTATAATTATTTTTTAAAAAATCTAACAAAAAATATCCTCCCCAACAAACAATTTTTATCAAAAATATTTTTTACAAGTCCGGACTAAACCGGGGGCTCTTAGGCCCAATCTATACCTCCCGAGTTTGTACTATCAGGGGCGCGGCCGACCTTGACGCAAGGCAGCAAGGCCGCAACAGCTGTCCTATCTGGTATTATTATAATAATTCAGCAACAATCACGAAGAAAAAAAGATGCAACCCGGCCTCGATACTCCTCTAAACAAATAATAATAATAATGGGAGACCGTGTCGCATCTTAATCAAACATTATTTTAACAATCTCCTAACAATAATATTACAATAGAGTTAAAAATGTCTTTTTTCACACGCACACTTAACAGTTTCCATTTTTAAATAATTAAAAGATCGTTGCACGCGAGCGAGCGCCACGTCTCTTCTTCAAATTTCAAAACACAATATAATAATAAAAGACACGCACAACAATTTCGCATATTATCAAAATTTTCTTATTAAAGCTCTTCATTCACACTTAATAATTAACAACAGCCACGTTAACAGCGCAGAGGATGCAAGAATTGTGACTTGTGTCCTTCTGTTGTGCGACTATCTCGCATCCTCTGCCACCGGTACTCTGCAGAGGAACTTTTCGCCTTGTTTTGATGTAGTGCTAGTGTTGGGACTCTTCAGACGGATAACGGTGACTGCTCTTGACAAAGAAATTTTTGAATTTTTCAGCTGAATTCGTCGATAGTTTAGGTGCGGCGAGCGGTCAAAATCCAGTGAAGTAAGTATATGAACGATATAACAACAACGCCTTGTCTTTGGTAGTCCTTTCATCATCAGGTAGGTTGTGTGTGTGTGTATTTGTGTGTGTGTACAAGAAAAGAAAACACTGCTGTTGGTTGCTGTTCTCGTAACGGAAATTTACTATGGCTATAACTTGTAACTCTTTATTTTGATTAGTTGAGGTAGATTGTAACGTTGGGCACACTGTAGTTTACCATACCATGTAATTCCTTCTCCAAACATTCCACTAGAAACAAACTCCAGTAAAGCGGAAAAAATCATCAAACTGAACAAAATGGACGAAAATGGCGGCGGTAATAAAGCACTTGCTGAGGTATTTCACGGTTCACACATTTCTTCTTGTTAATTTAATTAAAACACGCAATATTTTAGTTGTGTTCGGCGACAACAACGATGACACTCACGCTTGACTAAGACTGGAAGGATGATATTGCATTAGTGGAAGGCCTCGAGATGTTAATTGTACAATAGGGTATGAATAAACCCATGCACAGGGCAGTGAATGTTGCTAGCTGGCGTTACTGTTGTGGTGGTTGTTGTTGTTGTTGTTGTTGTTGCTGCTGCTGCGGTGGTGGCGGGTCCAACGCAGCTGCGGCTTCTGATTGGCTGGGGTCTTTTGGTTGGCGCGGTTGACGCGGTCTTCCCTGAAGAGGCACTACTGATTGCAATACCATAGCGCGTATGCGGCGTTGCGCTGACTAAAAACAAACAATTAATAATAATAATAAAGGTCTTTATTAATAAATTAAAGTAATACAAAGATACAGAGGCGAAGTCTAGCTTGAAGCTATTCAACTTAACCTCAAAAAAAATTGATAGAAAAAAAAACAATTATAACATAAAAATAAAAATAATTATAAAATATAAATATAAAATTTAAATAAAAATAAATTCGGAAGTTACTTAATAACTAAAAGTAAAGAAAGAAATCATTGTCAGTCGTTCAAAAGCAATAAGAAAAAACAACAAAGAATTCTTTAAGAAGAAATGAAGAAAAAAAAATTATCCAAAAGTTATCCAACTCAGTTGAACAAAGTTAATTATTCAAAAGCACGTTCTTAATTTGAGTTACGGAGAACTACATACTAGGAGACGAAACGAGATACAAAATTGCTTGATTTTTTGGACTCAAAAAAAGTAGACCCGCGGAGTAAAAATGAGGGCGTTTACAGCGTTTTACCGTCTCAGTTTCAAATCGTTTTTAATCAATTTAAATTCAACCAGTTTACTAATTGCTTGGAAGAAAATGCAAAAATGTTGAGCTTTATATTCTTAATAAGCTGTAAAAAACGAACCACTAAATTTTTCACGAGAAATATGAGAAAAAAAATATTTAAAATTCAAAATCTGTGCTCCGTTTCATGTTTTTCAAAATGCTGCGAATACGGTTAAAGATACAAGAAAAATGTAAGAAAGAAAGTTGTAGAAAATAAAATTTTCTAGTAAAAAGTCCGCAACACCATACCTCTATCTTTAATGGTTTAGGCCCCAAAGACGTTCAAAGAAGCTCAAGCGACGGATTCGTTTCATTTTTACTGGTGATTGAGTGCCGGGGGGACACTTTAAAGCAATTTAAACCTAAACCGTTGAAGATAGAAATATGGTGTCGCGGACTTTTTTGTAGAAAATTTTATTCTCTACAATTTTGTTTCTTTAACCATATTTGCAGCGTTCTTAAAAATATTGGGCGTAACGCAAACTGATAAATGTTTATAATTTATTATTAATACTGTTTTCGATATTTTTGAAAACGCTGCGAATACGGTTGAAGATACAAAAAAAGTGTAGAAAACGAAATTGTAGAGAATTAAATTTCCTACAAAAAAGTCCGCGAGACAATATCTCTATCTTCAACCGTTTAGGTTTAAATTAATTTTCTGTCTCACCGGTAAAAATGAGTCGTATTCGTCGCTTGAGCGTCTTTGAACGTCTTTAGGATTTAAACCATTGAAGATAGAGGTATCATCTCGTGGACCTTCTTCTTGGAAATTTTATTCTCTACAACTTTCTTTTTTATATTTTTCTTGTATCTTTAACCGTATTCGTAGCATTTTCAAAACTATGAGACGGGGCGCAAATTGCTAAATGTTTGAAATTTTTTTAAATATAGTTTTCAATAAAATTTTTGTATTACCTTTATCTCTTATTATGGAGAATTTAATGTTCTATCTGCCTTTATTTTTTTTATTTGCGTTTTGCTCACCGTTATGTAAATACAGCCATTTTTTTAATTAAAACTTGAACGGGAAAGGAACAACTGCGCTATCTGGCCTCGCTAACGGAACTATCGAGAACGGGGACGTTTTGTTTTACATCGTGTATCCGTAATTTGAGTCTTAAATTTTTTAAATTTTTTTGAATTTTAAATTCAAAAGAAATTAAAAAAAAATATATGACTTACTTGAACACTGAAAAATGGCCCGATGATATGCACCGTTGTTTCATCCTCTTGAGGAGAAGAACCCTGTTCTGGCAGTTTAATTACGCTTCCGGTTACGCGTTGCAATTCGCGAACGTTCTGACCTCCTTTACCGATAATTCGGCCCACTTGCGAGCTAGGAACCATTATTTCCACCGTTAATCTCACATCATCTGATCCAGCGACGAAACCCTCCTCTCTCATTTTCTCAAAAATCAAATACTGTGCCTGAAAAAACATCAATTTGTCATTGTAAACCGGACGAAAAAACGAATTTTACCTTCCACTGCGCTTCCGGTGAGCCAACAATCGTTACTCTTCTTTCGTTCTGCGTTTCTTGAGGTTTTGTCTCATCAATGGGCGCGATTTTGACGGAAGCCCCCGAGAATCGAATAATGTTTCGAATGTGTGAGCCCTTTGTTCCAATGATGGCCCCAACTGCGTTGTTCGGGATGTACAAATAGGTCGTTTCTTGACTGTCGCCTCCGCCTTGGGCCGCACCTGCGGGATACATTCCGGGATAGGGGGCTTGACCTGTGTACAGACCTCTTGAACCATAACCAATTCCTGTACCAAAAACCGCCAAATAACACATATATACCGGGTATTTACACTGGACTGACAAAACTACCAACAAAATGACCAAATCCACGCCGGCAAATATTCTGCAACTGACACTCAACTGTGAAACAGGCTTTAACGTCAAATTTGACATTTCAAAACGTCAAAATGACAGGAACAACGTCAAATTGACATTTTAAAACGTCAAAATGACAGGAACAACATGAGTAAATAACAAGATCATTATCTAAGGGCCGTTTCACATGGAACAGTAAGTTTATTTCACTTTTTTTTCACACGTGATGTTCCTGTCACTTTTGAAAAGTCAAATTTGACGTTAAAGCCTGCTTTACAGTGATTTGTTTGTGTAAAAATTCTTTTTTTGGAATTAGAAACCACAGAATATTTAGAGGAAGGTTCGATCAGGCAGAGAGGGGGGCAATTTTGTCATTTTATGATCATATATATGTTATTCGTGTAGCTCTGAGTCGCTCGCTTGAATAGTCACCTGCGGTGGCCATCATCGCCATCGGGTGGAGTCCCGGGAACATCATCGTTTGGGGCGCCATCGCTTGGAGATCATTTTCGTAGCTTTGTCGTAATTTAGCGCTGATTTGGGCCTCCGCTCGGCTCATATTGTCGATGGCTCCTTTGACGGTGATGATTCGTTCCAAATTGAACGAATTTATGTCGTTTATGCTCGAAACGGTGATCTTTGTGTCGGTCTCTTGCATTATCCTTTTGATCGTGTTTCCGCCCTTGCCAATGATACGTCCGATGAGGTTGTTGTGCGCCAAAATTTTCAAACATATTTCTCTAAAAAAAAAAAAGAAAAAAATTAGGTACGCCCATGAATTATTAAAAATGTCATTGGATACAACGCGTTTCCATAGTAACACAATTGATTCTTGTGGATGCTTGTCATAGGCGCCGAGTATGGGGGGGTTGATTTTTTGCGTACCCTTTATTCGTGTTGTTGGCCTCTTGCTGCATAACTTCTAGAATTCGTTTGCAGGCGTTTGTGCAATTTTCCGGATTTCCGTAAATAGTGATGGCTTTTTCTAACGATCCTACATTGTCTTTTCTATGTACGTCGACTCTTGCTCTCGTCTGTTGAGTGATTTGTCGTATCGTCGATCCTTGTCTCCCTATAATAGCCCCAACCTAGGTTTGAAAAGGACGTCTATCATAATAACGTAACCAAAAAATTCGTGTTTCACTAGCCTTACCATATCGCTTTGTACAAGTATTCGTAATGGAAAATCCGTTTGTCTACTCTGACCAGGCAAGCCCCCGAAGGGGGCGCCCAGTCCGCGAGGTCCTCTACGGCCCCGTTTTTCCACAGCCAATTCCACTTTGATGGGTCTACTATCTATTTCTATACCATTAAGTTGATTTACGGCCCTGGAAACACAATTGATGAGCATTGAGTTTAAAAAATTACTTTTTTTTTGATTTACTGTTGAGCTTGTTCCGTGCTTTCGAAAGTAACTTGCACCGTTTGTGTGGTGGGATCTTTTGAGGTAAGTTTATCACATGCAACGACAGCTCCGTGTTGTAAAAGTAGATGTTCGATGTCTTCGAACCGGACGTTTGGACCCAAATTGGATATAATTATTTTTGATGTTGAACTGAAAATTTCAAAGTCAGGACAATAACGAATATTTCACCAATGATTTAGTTTTTGTATTATTTTTTTAACCAAGAAACCTACATTGTCATCGCTGTTAAACGCATAATTCGTGGTTAAAATAGGGAAAAACGCTCTCACTCACACCATACACACAAAACTAGCAAACAGAGCAAATGCACAAGCGCTATCTCTACAAAAGTCCCATGAGTGAAATAGAATAAAAACATGACAAATAAGGGAGCGACGTTTAAAGCAAACAGCGATATCAGTGAGCATTATTGAGGGCATACAGAACGATGCAGATCGAATATCGTGGCTTTTATCGCAACTTTGGCGTCAAAAATTCGATAAGGCGATCCGTTTGGAAAAATCAGAAAGTGCGATAACAGGTAGGTATTTGGGAAAACAAAACTAGCATAATTTTACACGCGGTGTAACTGTAATAATTTTATCCGGTGCTGTTTATTTATAGAAAGCACTATCAAATTAAAGATGATTAGGATACAGTGCTCTATTTTAGGAAAGCAGTTTTTGCCTTTTTTTTACTTTCGTGTTTGTTTTAATACGTAAATTCAGTCATGTTTAAAAAAGCTGAAAAAACTAAAAATAACTCGCGATGATTGTTTTGGCACAGTTATTAATATTCAGGATAGTTGAGTTATGAATAACGACGACAGTTGGATGAAATTACTATGCTTACTACACTACAAAATTTTCATTGCAAATTGGTTTTTAATGAATCGCAAATTGTGATAAGCCTTGATTTTTTTTCTCTTTGAACAAGTTTGAATGGAATAGGATTACAAAAATTGCCGGTTTTAGTGGCAAACACAAAATTTTAAAAGGGTAAATCCTGGAGAGATGGGACAGGGGGCAAATCAGAATATTCTTTTTATGTTTTTAAAAAAATGCATTTTATTTTGTTACTTTTAAAGGTTATCTTAAATGAGAAAAAAACATTCGTGGTTTGAAATAAAATCTTTTTTTTTCCAAAAGTTTTTTCACAATGTTTTCTACGACCTCTCCCGGACTTACCCTACCACATTTTTATATCGAATATTGGTGAAAACAAATTCCCAGTACAACGTTTTAATGTTATTAGAAACTACTACGATGCAACAACACTTCCATATTCTTCTCTTATCATTTCCTGATAAGTGGAATTGATCCAAAAATGTTGCTGTTTGATACACAACACTTTAATCCTATGATAATCACATCAATGTCCGCATTTATCACGTTTTACTTTACTACATTTTTAAAAACATAACATTTACCTTTCTTCTATAATGCTTTCTTTTATTTATTATTTTTTTTAAATGGAGATGTTTTTATTAACATGTTATAATTACAATTACGCATCTTTTTTTAATCGTATATTTTTCTGATAGCTGAAGTAGTTTTATCGACAAATTCTTAACTAACTTTTCTTTTAAACAAATATGAATATGTATTTTTTATTGAAAAAGTTATTTTTTTTATTTCACTAATTCTTTGAAGAAAATTAACATTCCACTTAAGGGTTTCTTTTTTTACAAATTCAATTTAATGAAAAAGAGGCGTTTTTGAGGTGCGGATAAAATGTGACATTAATTTAGTTGTGGTCACAAAAAAATGGAGTGCATAACACGAGTTGCAAAGTTTTTGTTGTCATCAGAAGGAGTTGTATTCGTTACCCACTTGAAACACTTTAGTTTTGCTCAAAGAGTCTTTATGTAGTATCACAATAACATTTCATACATTGTTCTAGATTTCTTTTTCGGCGAGCCGACAAACGTTTGGCACATTATCGTCGTTTACTCTAATTGCCACTCGAAACTTGTAACCAATGTTGCCAGCTCAAAAAATAAAACTCACCAGATCCGACTTGAAAAGTTGACAAATTACAAAATTACGATAAAATGACGTAAATGACATCATTTTCGGATTGTTTTTGACAAGATTTTGCGAAATAATTGCGTTTCTAACTGAATAACCTGTTGAAACTCTTAAGAAATGCAAAAATAACACATCTTAGGCTTAATATCTTGATTTTTTGGAAATTTTTTCGAAATTTTGAGAAAAACCTGATATTTTGAACCAAATTTTGTAGTTTCTCGGCTCATTTTTCATTTCAATCTGAAAACACCATTCTCTTAAAACAGTTATACGCAAGTTATTAACGACTAAGGTTGATAGGAGACAAATGCTGTAAAATCGAGGCGATAGACGAGTTGTTAGCAGTGTTGCAAGCTCACAAAAATAAAATTCATTAAATCCAAATTGAAAAAGTTACCAAAGTAGCCTATTTACACCAGATTTCCCAAGATTACGATTTAAATCTTTCCATTGGTGTCGAAAGTTTAGGTTTTTTTTAACGTAAAAGTTTGCCAAATTACAATTTAGTGATTTTTGACTTTGTATGGAAAAATCTTGTGAAAAAACGGAATTTTCAGCTTCCTCGTGAAAAGGGTAAAACTGACATCATTTTTGACCTCGTTCAGTGATTTTGCAACTTGTTTTTAAAACAAATTTTGCGAAATAATTGTGTTTCTAGCTGGAGAACGTGCTAAAACGCTCAAGGAATCAAAACTGATATAATTTTCCTCTTAATTAGATTTTTTGGTTTGCTTAAGTGAAATCTCGAGAAAAACCTGAGATTTTCGGTTTATTTTTGTCTCAATTTTGCTCAAAAACCAGTTACATCGAGTGAAACAATGAAAATGACATCCATATCAATTTTTTTTGAGTCTTAGGCGTGTTTGCTCAATTAGGCAAAGTCGAGCAAAACAAGTTAAAAAATAATATCAATATCTATTTTGTGATTAGAGGAAATTTTACGTTTTTTTTTGTTTTTACTTCGAAAAAAGCGAAAATAACATTGTTTTTAGTCCATTTTGTTAAATTTTTCTCTTGTTTTTGAATTGTGTTTCTAGCTGAAAAACATTCATACTAAAGCATTCAAAAAAGGCAAAAGTAAATTGTCATTTTACGAGCACTTCTTCTAATAACAATTTAACACCAACCAATTGGGTGGTTTTTGATTTTTTTGTGACAAAAATTTTACGAAATAATCAAGTTTCAAGCGTGGAAAACGCTTGAAAAAGATGCAAAATTCGTATCATTTAGGTATTTTTGACTTGATTTAAAGTCGAGCAAAACAAGTTAAAAAATAATATCAATATCTATTTTATTTTGTAATCTTTCAGCCTGATTAGAGGAAATTTTGCGTGTTTTTTTTTTGTTTTTACTTCGAAAAAGACGAAAATAACATTGTTTTTAGCCCATTTTGTTAAATTTTTCTCTTGTTTTTGAATTGTGTTTCTAGCTGAAAAATATTCATTGCATTCAAAAAAGGCAAAAGTAAATTGTCATTTTACGAGCACTTCTTCTAATAACAATTTAACACCAACCAATTGGGTGGTTTTTGATTTTTTTTGTGACAAAAATTTTGCGAAATAATCAAGTTTCAAGCGTGGAAAACGCTTGAAAAAGATGCAAAATTCGTATCATTTAGGTATTTTTGACTTGATTTAAAGTCGAGCAAAACAAGTTAAAAAATAATATCAATATCTATTTTATTTTGTAATCTTTCAGTCTGATTAGAGGAAATTTTGCGTGTTTTTTTTGTTTTTACTTCGAAAAAGGCGAAAATAACATTGTTTTTAGCCCATTTTGTTAAATTTTTCTCTTGTTTTTGAATTGTGTTTCTAGCTGAAAAATATTCATACTAAAGCATTCAAAAAAGGCAAAAATAAATTGTCATTTTGCGAGCACTTTTACTCCTAATAACAATTTAAACCATCCAATTGGGTGGTTTTTGATTTTTTTGTGACAAAAATTTAGCGAAATAATCAAGTTTCAAACGTGGAAAAAGCTCGAAAAAGATGCAAAAATCGTATCATTTAGGTATTTTTGACTTACTACATCGATAATTGAAAAATTAGCGTACTGATTTCTTGATGTATTTCATTTCCAAAAACTCACCAGACATTAGATTTTTTACAAAGTTTTCACCAAATCTTACAAGAAAATCACCAGACTCGGCAACACTGCGAGATAGCAGAAAACGACGTTTTCTTCACAGATGGCCGGAAATACCTTCGACAGCATCAAAATTCAATCATCGCCATATCGAGGAAGAAAAGTTTTCCGTTCGGTCGTTGACTTGACTACCGGTATTCAAACATCTGTTTATCATCGTGTGCTTTCTTTCTGTGATTATCAAAGAAAGGAAGATGGCGAAGAAGTGGCGCCAAAAAAAGCGACGCTCGGTTTTAGACAGCGTCGAGACGCAGTTATGCGTTTTCTATTTTAGCAATGCCGCTTGGGAACTCGCCTCGAAAATAGACACGTTTAGGTTTATTGTCCGAACTAATAAAGACCAGAATAAATTGCACAAAAATATAAATGCACTAGGTACAACAGAGAAATATTGTTTAACAGTGAGTAAAATACTCTCGAATTAAATAATTCTTAATCTTCGATATACGCAAGTAAATATATTCTCCAAAATAGAAAATTATTTGCTCAACCTGCATTTCTTGAGTAGAAACATAATTGATTTAATATAAATACTTCCATTGAGTTTTAAATCAAGTAAATACAACATTAAGAGTAAATAACGTTTATTATTGAAGTAAAATCTACTAATTCTTGAAGTAAAAAATAATAATTTCTTCTGAAATATGGAACGTTTGGAAGAAGAAATTGTTTTCTTGAAATAAAAATATACGCATTCAATTTATGAAACTGATTTATTTAATTTGAACGCATCCTTATTTGAAGCTAACAATTGTAAAGTTTCATTCAAATAAATATTTTTTTGATTGAAAAATTCAATTTTGTTGGGTAAATTATACAATAATCTTATTACAAAGATAATTTTATTATAAAAATAATGAACATGGCATTCGTACAACTGTT